CATATCATAAACATGTCATTTATCACTTGTCTCGTACCATAACATATTTCATATCATTTTCATATCATATCACAATGTGTGTGTGTATATATATATCTGTCATTCAGGTGTTGTATCATAATCATATCGTATTGTAAACACTTCATGGTCATATCGTAACCTAATTTATCACAGCCTTAACAATCTTATACCTATCATAGTGATATCGTTTAATGAACATACCTTAGTCATATCGTTACAGGAACGTATCCTAACGCTATCATTCTATCAATCTATCATAATCCCTTTCTACCAATAATCTAACCATATACTTTTATCAATCAATTGTGACCATATCATTTTTATCAATCTCTCATATCCATAGCACTTCTATACGTAACTTAACCTTAACGTTTCATCAACATATCTTGCTCCTATCATTACATTACGTTCAATGCATCCTTTTCGCATCCTATCTCAAACATATCATTGAACACATCGTACCATAAGTATTAACATACAATTCACATATTATAGCATATGAATACCATATCATAAGCATGTCGATTAATAAACAATTCACACATATCAATATATATGACACGTGCAGAACAATAGGGCACGTGTCAACATCAAATATAACCATGCCGATAGTAAGGTCACTTACCTGATTAGCTTAGGCTGGTGTCACATATTTATCATTGAGAAAGTTTGCTTTTGTGATTTATATTCAAGTTAACCTATATAAACCATGATATCAATTTCAATTTCAATTCTCTAAATTTTACAATTCTCCATGTGTTAGACTTCATGTGAGCATTAGAGACTCATGAGCGGAGTCTTGGAGGGTTATATATATATATATAATTCCATTTTCATTAAATATGTTATTTTCTATTATTACTGTTTTAGGGAAGATATTATTACTAGAAAGAATTTGATGGAGTTTCTTGACATGATATTTCTTCGGTTTTGTCTTTTAATGTTCACAAAATCCTTAATTTTTTCTCTATTAAATTTTCTCTTTTTCATCTACTTCCCTTTTTATTAATTTTATTTATGTTCACCATTTACTCTATTAAATTTCATCTATGTATTTTAAAAATTAACCGTATTTATTTTAATTCATTAAATTTCTCATTTTTCTTTTAATCAAATTTTTCTCCCACATCTTCCCCTAAATTTTCTTATGGTATTTCTTTCTTTTCTTTTTCTATTCTATTCTTTTTTGTTAACCGTTTGGCTTTACAATATCTCCTTTTTCTTTCATTTTCTTCTTTTATTTTTCTTCTATATTTTGTTAACAGTATTCTGAAAATGGGCATGAGAAAAGTCACTGCCCAAAACACCTTGTACAGTAGAAAGCCGAAAAGGCACAACAAGGTAAGTATGATTTACTAGTCGTAGAAATATGTTTAGTAGAGTATGATAACTCAACCTGGATACTGGATTCAGAGGCCACTAATCATATTTGTTCTTTTTTCCAGGAAACTAGTTCCTGGAGAATGCTTGCGGAAGATGAGATAATACTTAAGGTTGGAACAGGAGAAGTTGTCTCGGCAAGATTAGTAGAAAATTTAAAGTTTTTTTCGAAGATAGATTCATTATATTAGATAATGTACTTTTTGTTCCTGAATGAAAATAAATCTAATATCTATCTCTTGTTTATTAGAACAATTGTATAAAGTATCTTTTGAAATCAATGAAGTGTTCATTTTCAAAAGAGGTATTCATATTTGTTCTGCAAAACTAGAAAAAAACTTATATATGTTAAACCCGAGTGAAACAAAAGTATTTTAAATACCGAGATGTTTAAAACAGCTGAAACTCAAAATAAACGACAAAAAGATTTCTCCTAATACCTATCTTTGGCACTTAAGACTACGCCACATTAATCTCAAAAGGATTGGGAGATTGGTTAAAAGAGGACTTCTAAATGAGTTAGAAGACAACTCTTTACCTCCATGTGAGTTCTGTCTTGAGGGTAAAATGACTAAACGACCTTTTTCCGAAAAAAAGGTTATAGAGTCAAAGAAACCTTAGAACTCATACATATAGATCTCTGTGGTCCAATGAATGTCAAAGCATGAGGAGAGTATGAATATTTCATCAGTTTTATTGATGATTATTTAAGGTATGACTATCTTTACCTAATGCATCACAAGTTGGAAGCTCTTGAAAAATTTAGAGAGTATAAGACTGAAGTTGAGTATCTATTAGGAAAAACTATTAAACACTTCGATCAAATCGAGGTGGATAGTATATGGACTTAAGATTCAAGGACTATATGATAGAATATGGAATAACGTCCCAACTCTCAGCCCCTAGTATGCCTCAACAGAACGGTGTATCATAAAGGAGAAATAGAACTCTGTTAGACATGGTTCGGTCTATGATGAGTTTCGCTCAATTACCTGATTCGTTTTGGGGATATGCAGTGGAGACTGATGCATACATTTTGAACATGGTTCCTTCTAAGAGTGTTTCAGAAACACCTTATGAGTTATGCAGTAAAGGTAGTTTACGTCACTTTAGAGTTTGGGGATGCCCAGCACATGTGTTGGTGCAAAATCCTAAGAAATTAGAACGTCGTTCAAAATTATGCCTATTCGTAGGATGTCCCAAAGAGACGAACGTCGTTCAATCTTTGCTCTATTTAAAATTTTGAGAGGTGAGAATATGATAGCTTCATTTATGTAAATGAGTGTAAAAAGAGTGGCCTAAAAATTCCTTCAGTGTATACTCATGAGAGAGTGTTGTGAGGTCCTTCGTATTTCCATATCTTATTTTTTGCAGCAAAGTTTCACAAATAGATTCGAGGACGAATCCTCTTGAAGAAGTCAAGAATGATATGAACCAAGAGACATCAATCATACAATAGGCTTCAATGAAGATGTGAAGAAAATATTGTTGAAATTATCAAAAGATATTTCAGTTCATGGCACATTGAAGAAGAATGAAGTTTCATGTTATAAATTCTGGGTGGATTACATTTTAGAGTAATTTAGAGTTATTGTATTTCATTAATGTATTTTAAGACTTTTTATTTGCTTTAGGTTACAATTAAGTGAGCCAGGTAAGTGACTTTACTATCGGCATGGTTATATTTGATGTTGACACATGCCCTGTGGTTTTGCACGTGTCATATATATTGATATGTGTGAATTGTCTGTGGATCGATATGCTTCCTATATGTTATGTTATGTTATAACATGTGGATTGTATGATAATAATTATGGTACGATGTGCTCAAGGATATGTTTGAGATAGGATACGAGAAGGATGCACAAAACGAAATGTAACGATAGGAGTAAGATACGTTCATGAAACGTTAAGGTTAGGTTACATACCGGAGTGCTATGGATAAGAGAGATTAATGAAAGAATACGGTTAGGTTAAGGGTAGAAAGGGATAGGTTTGTGATAGATTGATAGAACGATAGCGTTAGGATACGTTCTTGTGACGATATGACTATGAAGTGTTTACGTTATGACTTGTTTATGATATGATACATTGTATACTAGATTATTGTGCTTAAGTATGTAGTCATGTGAATACGTTTGAGTGGCTAAAGAAATAAATTAGAAATTTATTAGGCTTCACTCGTGTAGGTTCAAACCTTGTTGTTGACATTTTTTTAATGTTTTCCAACTTCAACCGTGAAAATATTCAATTGTCCTTCGTCAATTGTATCCGCTTCTAATTCTACAAATGATGGTTGAACCGAACCGATCCAATTTTGTAGATGAAGAACCAATTTTGTAGGTGAAGAATGAATGTTTGTTGAATCTTCTTCGCCTTGGATCGTGTAATAGGTTCAGTTGGAACATTTGGAACACCATGATTCTTATATCTTCCCCCTCTTCAAAAGGATTCGTCCTCGAATCAGAAAAATCATCACCTACATCAAAACAACTTAAGTCAACAACATTGAAAGTAGAATGTACTTAAAAATCATCACCTACATCAAAAGAACTTAAGTCAACAACATTGAAAGTAGAATGTATTGAAAAGTCTCCGGGAAGATCAATTTTATATGCATTGTTATTAATTATTTCAAGGACTTGATAAGGGCCATCCTCTCTTGGATGTAACTTTGTCTTCCGTTGAGATGAGAATCGCTCCTTGCGAAAATGTATCCAAACCCAGTCACTAGGTTTAAAAATGATTTCCTTTCGTCCTTTGTTAATCCTTGAAGCAACTTTGAAATTTTGGGTCTCAATTCTCTCCTTCACCTCCTTGTGCAATGTTTTGATCAAGTCTGCCTTACTTGTGGCTGCATCACTCACAAACATATTAGAAGGAATAGGAAGCAAATCAAGAGGTGTAAGTGGATTAAATCCATAAACAACTTCAAAAGGAGAACAATGAGTTGTACTATGAATTTTCTATTATATGCAAACTCTACAAATGGAAACATTCATCCCAACACTTAATATTCTTAAAAATAATAGCCCTAAGCAATGCTCCTAATGTTCTATTAACCACCTCAGTTTGTCCATCCGTTTGAGGATGACATGTAGTTGAAAACAACAATTTGATACCCAATTTACCCCACAATACTTTCCAAAATTGACTTAGAAATTTAGCATCCCTATCACTAACAATTATTCTAGGGATTCCATGTAATCTTACTACTTCCCTAAAAAAATAAGTCAGCAACATGTTTTACATCGTTCATCTTGTTACATGCAATAAAATGAGTCATCTTACTAAATCTGTCTACCACAACAAAAATACTATCTTTACCCTTTTTAGTGTGTGGTAAACCAAGAACAAAATTCATAGATATATTAGTCCAAGGTTCATTAGGTACATTCAAAGGAGTTTACAATCCATTTGGTTGTGACCTAGATTTAGCTTCTTTGCATTTAAAGCATCGACTACAAAATTTATGAACATCATGCTTCATTTTCGGCCAAAAGAAGTGTTCATGCAACATATTATAAGTTTTATTAATCCCAAAATGTTCCATTAAGCCACCACCATGTGCTTCTTTAACAAGCAAATCTTGGATAGAGAATTTAGGAATACAAACCTTACTTTTCTTAAATAAGAATTCATGAAACACATAATAATCATCTACAGCTGTTTTTGTAAGACAAGATGCATAAATAATTCCAAAGTCGTGGTCATCTCGATATAATTCTTTAATATGCTCAAATCCAATAATTTTTGCACAGAGAGAAGTAAAAAAATTGTACCTTCTAGATAATGCATCAGCTACCACATTATCCTTACCTTGCTTATATTTGATGACATACGGAAATGTTTCAATAAACTCCACCCACTTTGCATGCCTACGGTTCAGTTTCCTTTGACCCTTAAGATACTTCAAGCTTTCATGATCAGAGTGGATCACAAATTCTCTAGGCCATAAGTAGTCTTGCCACACCGTGATTTTGTTGATGGCTCTACAATCCACACACATACGCCACGTTCCATCTTTCTTCGGTACCAATAAGATTGGTACAGAACATGGACTCAAACTCTCTCATATATAGTCCTTCTCCATAAGCTCCTCTACTTGTCTTCAAATTTCTTTAGTCTCAGTTGGGTTGGCTCTATAAGCTGGCTGATTTGGAATTATCGCCGCTAGAATGAAGTCTATTTTATGTTGAATACCTCTAATTGGAGGTAGTCCTTTAGGGACTTCATCTTGGAATACGTCATCAAATTCCTGTAAAAGAGATTGAAACATACTAGGCAAAGACAAATTATTATCGTTAGAGACCAAACATCCTTCCTTGTATACAAGTACAAAGATGGTTTTTTGTGAGAACATTGTCCTTCTAACCTCTCCAACTCTAGCCAAACAACTCACATTCTTTCCTTTTTCTACAATTTTATTTTTTTTTCACTATGGTTTTCTCGTTGACTTTTTTCTCTATTTTTTCACTCAACTCTTTTTCCTCAAACTCTTTCTTTTTTTCTCCAACTTTAATTGATCAACAAATACATTTGTAGAACTCAAAGGCACAAGAGTGGTTTTTCTACCATCTTTTACAAAAGAATACCTATTTAAATAGTCATCATACATAATCCTCCTGTAAAATTGCCATGGTCGGCCAAGCAATATGTCTCCAGCATGCATTGGTAAAACGTCACAAAGACTTTCTTTATATTTTCCTAAAGTAAAAGATATTAAAGCTTGAGAAGTTACCTTCATTGTTCCACTGTCATTGAGCCATTGAAGCTTGTAAGGTTTAGGATGGTGTTGGGTTGGAATTAGCAACCTTTTAATCAGCATTGTACTTACGACATTGGTGCAACTTCCACTATCAATTACAAGACTACAAGGAGTCCCCTTAACTAAACAACTTGTGTGAAATAGGTTGTCTCTTTGATCATCAACATCATTCTCTGTAACTTGAGTTTTAAGAAGTCTTCTGGTTACAAGTACCAAACGACTCCCATCTTCTAGTTCCTCCTCATGCTCCTGGATTTCCTCTTCAACTAGCTCATTATGGTCACTTTCCTCACTATCTGTGACAACTTGTCCATTCTTGATGATCATGACTCTCTTGTTAGGACAATCACGACTAAGATGACCAATTCC